CAAAACCCCAAAACCCCAAAACCCCAAAACCCCAAAACCCCAAAACCCCATGAGTGTAACTTATTATTTTCCATCGAATTAAGTTAAAATAAAATCTTTATTAATCAAATGTCTACTGGATAGCCAACCTATTCCACAGAAGAAATAGCCAAGAATGTGTTCTTGAATATAAAAAAGATGGATGCCAATACACCTGATCAAGCACATACCATCTATGTTTACTCTGTAAAACAAAAACTATTGTCATACTTTTAGATTGATGTCAAAGAGATCTCAATAGTTGATATCTCCTTAGATTTTTCAGAGGGTTTCAATATCTAGGTTGAAAACACCCAAGATATGAAAGTGTCTGCAACAATAAACCCTATGACTAGTGATACTGTAGCTGTCGTAAAAGCTTATGATGAGACTTGGGCCAACCCATGCAAAGTCAAGTAATTCTTTAAATTTCAAATACTGTTTATTAGTGTTGTGAAAAGAAGTCCACCTCTTGAGATTCAAAGATCCTACATTAAGAATCAGCTTATCAATCTTGAAAGAGAAGTCCAGAAAAGTGAACTTTTCTGGAAAGATTTCCCATTGAAAGTATCTTCAGTTGAGTAGATCAAGGAAAAATTAATAACTTAAGGACTAAATGCTAACTTTATTGACATTGACTTTCCTCCTCTTGATAAATCCATTCAAGAGTAAATTAAATAGAATTACAAATTCCTCAAATTTATAGTTTATCTAAGGGTCAAGCATTTGATAGACTTATTCATTGGAGAAGGCCAAAGGATTTCATGCTGATTGATGGGAAAGATGGCTAACTAGATCCCTAAGTGTTTGCTAAGATTGAACCTAATGATATTTACCAAGGGCATCTTGCTGATTGTTGGTTCTTATGTGCAGTCTCCTCTTTAGCAGAAAGACCAGCATTGGTTGAGAGAATATTTGTTACAAAGCAATATAATGACCAAGGCATTTATTAGCTAAGAATTTGTAAAAACGGAGAATGGTAGAACGTTATTGTTGATGATTATTTCCCTTGCTATCCTAATGGAGGACCTATGTTCTCAAGAAATAATGGAAATGAACTTTGGGTTTTACTTTTAGAAAAAGCTTATGCTAAAGTTCATGGTGGATATAAGAACCTTACAGGAGGAAAGCCATATCAAGCTTTGATGGATCTTACCGGATGTCCTACGATGAGTTTGAACTTTTAGGAGCAAAAAGTCAAGGATTTGATTAAGCAAGGAAAACTTTGGAGACTTATTAAACATTTTGATGAAGAAGGCTATCTTATGACTGGTGGTACTCCAGGCGAAGATATGTGGAGTGATAACAAATAGTTAGACGAATAAAAATAGAAACTTGAAGAATAGAAAAGAAGTTTGGTACCAGGGCATGCTTACAGTATTATTTCTGCAATTGAGGTTAAAGGAAATAAACTCTTAAACATCAGAAATCCTTGGGGTAATTTTGAATGGGATGGAGATTGGAGTGATGGCTCTGCATAATGGACATAAGAAATGATTGACCTTATTAAACCAAACTTAGATTCTAATGATGGATCATTTTGGATGAGTTTCCAAGACTTTGTTGATAATTTCCAAAGCTTAGATGTATGTAGAGTCAGAAACTGGGAAGAAGCTAGAATCAGAGGAAGATTTGTTTGATTTTCAGATGGTTAAAATATAACACTTGACTTTGTGCAGTCAAAGTGGATATATGCACTAGAAGTTCCTAAAAAGTCCTAAGTAATTATAAGTCTAAGTCAAGAAGATGAGAGAATTGAAGGAGTCCTCCCAAGAAGACCCTATCTTGATATTGGCTTGGCAATTCTGAAGATGGATAAAGATAATGGATCTACATTACATATTCATAGAGATTATTAAGTCGAGAGAAGCGTTGAACTAGAGTTAATCCTTGAACCAGGAAATTACATGATTGTACCTAGAACAACTGGATGTGGTTTAAAGAAATAAGATCATCTTTAATAAGAACAAATTAGATTACTTGATTCTATTGGAGCGTTCCATCCAATTTTCTAATCAACCATTTCAGATATCTTCTTGAAGTTTGATATCAATGCTAATCATACTATTGACTTCAAAGAATTCAAAGCCTTTTTAGAGATAATTGGCAAAAACTTAAAAGACGAAAACGCATTTAGAGATAGTGTTCTAATTAAATATAATTCACATGACAGTGGAATAACCTTGAGAGGATTTAATGATTGGTGGAGAGCATAGTTAATTTCAGAAGGTGAAGCTAAAATTTGGTCTTGGCTAGAGAATTTAGGATATGATAAAGATCTCTGCTCATTAAGGTCTAGACTTTTTAATATCGTCATTTAAAGCAGAAATCTTGAAATCGAGAGTGGAACTGTCGAAGTGAGAGTTAGAGACGGAATTGCTACTGATATTGATAATAGAGTGAATGAGATGATTCTTGAAAATCATGGTAGACAAGCAGAGAATGGTGATAATTATAGCTTATTAGTATTTGAATCACCTTCAACCAAGTCAACTACTTATGGAGTCAGAAATACTGGAGTAAATCCTATTGAATTTTCATTTGAAATGAATGCTTGCGAGAATATTATCTAGAGTACCAAATCTACTTTGGTTAAAAAATTAGTTAAGCCTGGAGAAATCGAATTTATGATGCATCTTTTACCTGGAATAGGTCATTCAGTCAAAAATATTAAGCACTCTGCAAAAGAAATAGTTCCCAAGAAATGATCAGAGTGAAGCTAACTTTTCAGATATTTTTTATTTTAAGAATATAATCATTAAAGCTATAACTAATTTTTTTGAATTCTATCTCCAGGGGTTTTGGGGTTTTGGGGTTTTGGGG